ACCGCAGCCTGGTGCTGAGCCCAAAATTTCAGGAGCAGGATTTTAGTTATGAATGGAAACACCTTGTGATTTCTGCTTGGCCTGTGTAAAAGCACTGCGAGCATGGAACATTTGCAGGCCGGGAAGCGGGAGCCACACAGCTGATCGTCTCCCAGCCCCAGACACTGGACGCCTCCCTGTCCCGGAGCGCAGGGTTGCGTGAGACGGCTGGAGACGTGCATTATGATTCCCTGTTCAGGCTCTCGGGGGCTAAAGGGCTCGGCTATTTCTCCTGGAGGGCCTAGCTTCTGCTTCTGGTTTTTATTCTACTGGGGCTCCCAACAGCATTGTTAGTGCAATTATTTCATCACATGCATGACTGGAATGCTTCCACCCATAGTCCCTGGGTGATCTCCTGCATTTCAATCGGATAAATTATTACCTCAATTGTTTAGTATTGGAACAGGTGCCAGAAGGCTCTGGGCCCTCCAGGACCTGAGTCTGCCACCCCTGGTTTAAAACTGCCACCAGCGTCAGATGGGTTTTGATTGACCTGAGTAACAGTTTAATTACAGTAATTAAGACTGGAAGAAATGGAACGTTGCACACGCTGTTGCACACTTTCAGATCCAGAGTCCCTGTGCTGCTCTCATTAAACCATCCAGGAGAGTTAATTAGAATTTGAAGGGTGGAAATAGTAACACAAGTCACGCCAGCTGAAATGCAGGCCCTCATGCATATTCATGAGCACCGAATAGAGGGGGGCGTGGTTTGCATGGATTGTGCAGGATACTGGGGCTGAGTCACGCCCCCTCCCTTAGATGCTCATGAATATGAGCGGCTCAACAGATTTAAGAGAAAGTGTTATTCAGTGACTCCACATGAATCCAGATAGAATAGAAAATGAGGCAGATTTCGCATCATAATGACAGGGGAAAACTTGTCACCAGGGCTCTGCAGAGTGGGAGTCCAGTTTGAATTAGTGGAGCCCAAGATTGGCTTTCATGTGTTGTTCTGACTCCTTGCTCGGTGGCTGGGCCTGCGAGCTAGCGGGCGAGGTGCTGGCACGTGCCACCCCGGCCCGAGACGGGTCCTGCTGACCTGGAGTGGAGGAAAGCAAGCGTGGGCGTGCACTGAGAGAGTCACGGTCGGCCGGCGGTGATGTCATGAGCAGCCAATCAGGAGGCAGGACTCTGCAGCAGCTGTGACTGGAGGAAAGAGGAGTGTGTGTGTGTGGGTGTGGGTGGGGGTGGGCAGTCATCATAGTGTAACATTTGCATTTTATTCGGATGGCTGAGAGGGAAGATGAGAGACAGGGATGGGGAGGTGGAGAGAGATGAGGCAGGCAGGGTGCTGAGTGTAGGAGTTGGGTTTCAGGCTGACCTTGGAGCCCACAGTGAGGAACGGGGACAGTGAGACAGGCAGTCGGGCGGGGGGCTGGGGGCAGCATGGTTAATGTCTGATTTTAAACCGATGACAGGGCGCAGTTTGGTTGAAACCGGTCTCTGACCTTGGAGGAGAGCTGAGAAAGAGAGAGGTGGCTGGAGAGGGTGAACACTTCCCCTCCCCTCTGTGACGAGTGACAGTGAAGGAGGGGAGAGGCTGAGGGGCCCAGAAAATAGCAAATGGTGACACTGAATCCAGAGAAATAGAGGGGAGTCACGTTGGAGAGAGACAAGGACAGGGGGCAGGCAGGGCTGAAGAGAGAGAGAAGGGATGGAGGTGTGGAGAGAGAAGGAGGGATGGAGGTGTGGAGAGAGAAGGAGGGATGGAGGTGTGGAGAGAGAAGGAGGGATGGAGGTGTGGAGAGAGAAAGGAGGGATGGAGAGAGAGAAGGAGGATCAGAGGGAGGGACAGGTCTCCGCTCTGAGCAGGTTAAGGGTGGGGAGGGATGGAGAGAGAGAGAAGGAGGATCAGAGGGAGGGACAGGTCTCCGCTCTGCTCTGAGCAGCTGCAGCGGTGGTCCGGAGCTGCTGGGTGAGAAGCAGTGTCACACACGTGACTGTCGCAGGAAACCACAGCTGGGCCACAGCAGCCTGTCTTGCAGGGGCTGGGGGGTGACAAAGGAGCCACTCCTCTTCTTCCTTCTTCCTGGGGTTGAGCATGTGATGGCAACGTGTATTTGTTTCTGTTTCGTCTGACTGCAGACAGACCCCTGGACATGGGGTACTGGGGTACACCCTTCCCTTCTCCCACATCTTCCCCAGCAGCAACACTCTGTCTCTGTGCGTGTCCAGTGTCTGTGAGCCACACATTGTGTGTGCGCAGTTGCCTCTAGATGAGTCAGTGAGAGCTTTCTTACTTACTTCACTCTATTGTCCCTTAAAAGACATAACCCATTACACAATACATTTAACACAGCATAAGCCCATCAACCAGTGGGACTTACATGTAGGATAAGAAAGAAAATATATATACGTCAAGTAAAACAGTACAGTATACAGGTAATTGTGCAAATGGAGCAGGTAAATAGCTGTGGGGATAAAAGATGACTTAGCTGTATTGCTCTTGAATACAGGCAGTCTATATTGACACCCAGATGGAAGGAGCTCAAATTCACTGCAAGGGCAGTTCCTGACGGTCAGTTCTTGCGGCCCTGTGTTTCTGTATTTGTTCCACACACACACACCCTGTCTCTCCACACGCAGCCCCGTTCTCTAAACGGTTTCAAGGGTCTGATCAATATTGTATGAGGTGGGAGATGCCCAAACATCCCAACATCAGCAGAACTGGTTCAGATCCGGGGGGGGGAGGGAGCGTGCAGTTTCCTCCTGTTTTGCTCCAAATCTGCTGAGCATGGCAACCTCCCACTTTCATCTTTTTTTTCATCCACCTTGCGTCTTTCCTGCCCTCCTGTAGCGGTTAACTGTAAACTGGGGAGGACGAGGAGGGCTGATCGCCACACGCACGCACGCATGCACCCACCCACGCAAGCGCTCACATTCTCAGAAATATGAACCAGACCACAAGCACACACACACTTGTTTTTTGGGCCTTGCTGAAATGAACCTCCTCCGGTGCTGAAAATAGACCCGAAACGGCGGTTTTGGGCACTTTCAGAGAGGACAGCTTTAGATTCAAAACGAGTCATTCGCGCTGGGGGCTCATCTTCGTCCCCGCACACCTGCCTGTGTTTGTGGGGGAGTTCTCCAGGGCGTGACAGTCAGGCCTGCGCTGGCACACTCGGGGGTTGTAGGAGACTGGACATCCAGCAGCGGAGAGGTGCAGGCTGGCAGGTAGACCAGCTGAGGACATTTCGCAGCTCTGCCCGTGCTCTGTAGGACTGTGTTTGGCCGGGTGTGCGAGTTCCTGCTGAGGCCGATAATTGACTGGCAGTCTGGATAACTAGCGGCATAGCTGCGTATCGAACCCTGCAGCTGTGTGTCAAAGTCACTCTCTTGCCCCCTGTGTAGATGCAAGAGTTGGAACATTGGGGGTACCCGTACCCACAGACCCCCCTATCGTGCTGCTCAGGATGGGAGGATGATGTCTGGAAGTGAGGTTGAATTTGAGAGACTGGCCGATGGGCTTCAGTAGGGATGTGCGACAGCAATTGGTGTCCCTCTTGCCCCCACCTTGGCGTCATGCTTGTCAGGTTAATCTTTTCCTTTTTCTGGGTTTTTTTCTGAACCAGAGGAGGAGAGAAGAGTGAAAGCGAATGACCGGGAGTACAACGAGAAGTTCCAGTACGCGGTATGTATTGGGGGGTTTGTGGCTCAACCGTTAAAGGAGCTCATTTAATGCACAGGATGAATCCTACAGCCCAGAGATCACTGGTCCAGTCCGGG